TAAGAAATGTTGTTAAACTTGTTTTGACACAAACGATATGACTAGCCAACTTTATATTGGCAAAAAGAAGAATGAGTCAAGAGTAAAACAGAGCGGATGCGCGCGCGGCATACATTTCTCTGTGGTTTGTGTCAATCATTTAGCTGCGATTGCTGCAAAGCGTGCTCGACGTGTGCATTTACTTGATGACGCGTTACATTAGGCCCCGGCACATGGATGACGCGTTGTATTAGGCCCCGGCACATCGCAAATTGAAGCGAAGGATCAATGTTAGCTACTTCCAAGTAGCCTACGACTTAAAACGCGAGAAATCTTCTCTAAAAAGAGAAATGACTTACCGGTACATAACATGATCTTGTGCACAGTCTTGCAGTTTGCACTTAATAAAGATCGAGTGAGGGCGTGGTTGACCATTACAGTGAGACTCACCAACAACTACATTATCGCTTCTCAAGCATGCTTGAACGTTTGACCTAGTACCTATAGAATCAAAAAAAATATTTTGTTAGTCTATATTATTTCCATGCAGCCAGAACACTCCAAAACATATGGTAAGTTACAAGAAACCGCATTAGTTCTATCATATATAAAATCTGTAATAGAGTTACCTTTATGGTAATCAGATGCACATTTCATACCCACACACGTGGCTGATATTAGTCGATTAGTTTCAGCCGAATAATACGACGGTGACGTTCCCAGCAAATACAAAACGTTATTATAACATTTGCGAACGCTGTGGTTTAAAATAACGTTCGTTACAGCAGCGGTTGTAGTGGTAGTAACAATACGTTATGATTACGTTGTTATTATGCTACAGAAAAACATTATTGAATACCAAACTGCTTTTACACCTTTATTATAAGTTTTAAATATTATTAGTGTTGATGTATGGTTGTTTTTCTGCATCGGTTAATTGCCACGTAAGCTACCAAATAACAAAGGTACCTACCCTCTCCGCACGTTGTTGAACAATCTGACAACTCATCCTTGGTAAACCATCGGTAGGTTGGTTCTGGGCGTACCGGTGGCGCACCATTCGACAGGTAGTACTCCCAAAACACGGACGCAGTGGATTGTCCATACATATACACCTCAATATCAATGATGTCTGATGTCGGTCCAGGAACAAAAATCGACCCTGGATTTGAATCATAGAAAAAGGACTGTGTGCCATACTTGTATTCCATATCGGTAGGGCGGTATGCAGTTCCACCAATCACGTATTGTCCATTTACTTTAACAGCTAAGAAAGAGAGATACATAATACACATAATAATTTGGTTTCCAATCATTTCATAGTTTCTTTGTGCCTAGGGATTGAGACTGATGCTCATATTTGACAACTTCAGTAGCAAATATATTGATAATTAGTATAGTTTGATTATTTGCAAGGGCTTATATTATTTTAACGCAACTACTAATGTTATTATCACCAGAGAATCAACATATATACATATCATGCTTATTTCCACTCTCTGGACTCATGAATATGTTTAAAACTGACCACCATACTATGAGAGTGAAAAAGGAATTTTACCTATTTTCTGCGTTATATTTTTGTCGATTTTTTCCCAATAATTACTTAAATAAATAATCCTCTTTAAAAAGTACATAACATTTCTTAATCTTTTTCAAACTTACCCATATGACTTTGCCTGTTGTTATTATGGATCTTCACGTGTGTGACCAAAGCAGGGATTGTCAGAATCTTCGTGTGGGCTACAAATTAACGTTAATGTCAAACGGTTATAATATAGCGACCTACAATTCAATAGGTCTAATTTATAGAGAAAATGTAAATTATGAAAATAGGAACTATACAAAATCGTATGCCTACAATGAGTTTTGAATTGCTCGTAATCCGAATCTTTTTCAGTATCAATGTATGAGTGATATACCGAAAGTGGTCGGGTTGAATGTTCGACTTACTTGCAATGAACAGTGAAGCCTTACTCACTGTCCCAGAATGCCGTTCACACGATGTGCCATTACCACCACAAACACGACATCGATCGAATTCGATACCCGAGTTTGGCAAACCGTCACACCCAAATTCCTAATTATGATATCAAGTTTAAATTTATTCATTGTAAGAACTAACAAAAACCAAGATAAAAAACGATATTACAATAACTTTAAGCACAATTAACATGTTCTACTGTGACGATTAATTATTGTAGACTTCATTTGAAGAAATATACATCATTCCCTCCACTCTTTTACTTAAATGAAGATATGGAAATAATAGAGGCTATATAACCAATAGTTTACTACTTACAATACACTTTCCTTGGACACAAAACCTGTTGCCAGCAATCTGAGCAATATCACACCGCGTACCGTCAATGAAATGTTTACCGCGTGTCGTCACTGTGTTTATATTTGAAACGCAGGTAAAATCACATAATTTGTCACCTAAAGGATAAATATAACAATATTTTTTAAAGTCATAAAAAACATCCCCCTTGCCTTAGTTAATCTATCATAAACCAGCGAGGCACATTTCTCCACCATTTGTAATTGAAAAAGAATAATCAAATTCATAATTAACAAAAAGTTTTATTTGTGTTCACCACAAAATAAGGCTTTCAAAGTTATTTACTAATTTATATTTTATATCCCATGAAATACTTGCACCTGGATGAAACGTCCGTAAATGCTCGAATAAGCGCCGCTCTCGAACAAACGCCGCACCAAACCTGATTTGTTTAGATATGAGCCGCTCTCTAATAATAGCTTATTTGAGAGTATATATTAACCTATATTTAAAACAGGGTTTTAAATTCAATGTCTACAGTGTTAAAATAAATAAATAAATAACAGAATGAAGACACAAACATTTCTTTATAAACGTTTATTTACGATAACATCTGATAGGCCTACGTCAATTAGGTAATATGCGGACGGGGATGGAAAGCACCACGCCAATATTTCTTTATTAGCGCCGCTCTCGAATAAGCGCCGCACTGAAGCCTCCAAAAAATGTATAAGCGCTCCGGCGTTTATTCGAGCATTTACGGTATGGTATGCCATTTTACAGGTTATATACAATAATATACAGGCTGGGGTATCTAAGCATTGCCGATCAAGAATGATTAGATCTTGAAATAGGAAAGTGGAGATTCTCACCTTGCAATCCAGTTGTGTAGGCTGTCCATTGAAGAGATTGGTTATAAAATAAGTCACTGTTAGTTGAAGCGCACTGATCATTACGGAAATCCTCTTGAGTGCTTGTGCAGGGTTGCGAATTACAGGTTATATATTGCTTATCGGCTCCAACACAATCGGCACCGCCGTAAGCAGGTCTACCAACATACCCAAAAAAAATTATAAACTATAAAAAATGAATTGCTTAACTTTCATATTTCAATAAGTTACAAACTTTCAACTTAAATTTGAGCAAGAAAATTATATGTTCCTTGCCAATTAACAAGTGTTTAAATAATACTATTTCTATAGACATTGCAATACTCTTTCTGGTAGAAATTAAGGAATGTTGTTATAAAAAGTCTGTAATTTTTTTTTTTTTAATTTTGCGATTTAATGAAATTTGATATCTAATGCTTTTGTCTTGAATTAGAAAGTAGAATTTATAATTTATTTTATTGGTTTTAGTGGCAGTATAACTTTATAGTTTCTTACGCTGGGTTGATGCAGTAACGATATTTATATTGAACACCGCCCCCACACGTTCGACTACAACTGCCAAAACTGATGTCAAAATTGCTCCAGCCTCCATCGACAGGTTCATATGCATCGTCTACCGAAAGTACGCATACTCCGTGCTTGCAAACCTGTAATTTGAGTTTTTTAAATATGGTAAAAAGTTGGTTGGCTGGTTGGTTATCAACTACTTTAATGATGAGTTCGTTTCTGAACCGTAAAATAATTAAATATTTTGTCTTGCCCAAATCTTACCTTATAAGCACCGCATGAGGTCCCATCCATTCTGGCAAATCCAGAATCGACACAGACAGAACTATCACCTTCCAGACAAAACAATTTTGCGCATTCATCCTAGGGAGGAATTATTGATACTCGTCTTAACTATCACCAAGTTCGAAAGTCAGATTCCACAAGTAAGTTCAATAAACTATTTAGGCCTACTTTTTTTTTATTTTAAAAGTAAAATCAGCTGCATGCAAGTTTTTCGCTAACCCTTTGGATATCATTGATAAGCGTGTATTCGCAGTCCTGTTATTGGTCAATTTTGATTGCCATTACAAAAGGTCCATTAATCGTGTGCAATAATTTATCGTACAGTGAGTGTCTACGTAACAGAACAATTTTCATTACTTAATGTTTTTGTGTAATTTCATTATTTGTAATTAAGGCCTTTATATTTTTGTAAATGCAATAATTTTAGCCTTTGGCTACTTTTTGTATTAGTTTTATACCTGAATAAAATAAAATACCTAAATAAAATAAAATAAATTTCATTGTACTCAATAAGGATGTTTACATTTTAAACACTATGAATGTGGACATGAAAATATCTCAATCTCAATTATATTTTATTGTGATTGTTCAGAAGAACATAGAAGTTTGTTTTGCTCTCTTGGTAAAACACAGAACAAAAGGCAGAACAAACGGATGCAAAGTGCAAAAAGTAACACAATTTACAGATATAAACACAATATGTATTACACAGTATACAACTTACAGATTAGGCTATTTGAATAATGTATACTTATATTTACTGGAATTGGGGAGTTATGACATGCGGTGTAAGAATTTCCATATATTAACGCGCACTGGGCATCTTCATCATATTTTCTGCCTGGTAAATCATCGGTAACTGCCTGAAACACGCCAGGAGACAAAATACTGGGTTCATCTTTTGTGCAGTCAGAACTAGTATTACTGAAAAAAAATCAAGCGTTGAGATGAATACACGGTATACGGAAAATGTTTTAACGATATTGTACAATGATTAGTGTAAATGTTTCTTTAATTGCAATGCGCAAGACAATAGAAATGGTTAGAAGCAGTATCAGCTGGGTCCTCGATAGTAGAAGCAGCAGTTTGTTTGCTGCCTTCAATTGTAACGTACTGTAGTAGTAGTGGTAGTAGCAGTAGCAGTAGCAGTAGTAGTAGTAGTAGTATG